TTTGAAATGATGGAGAATATTTGTAACCCAAAGAACTTAACACAACCAATATCTCTGTCTATATGTATAGATCCAGTTGGAAGCTTTTTATTATGATCGCTTCTACATCAGTCCCGTTGAGGTTGCGTATTCGCCTTGCCGACGAGTCCCTAGCTTGAGGGCTTCCCGTTAACTATCTCCAACCAACTAACATCTATCAGTATGCACCACAATGCTAAGTCACCTAGCTTGGTGGAGTTATTGCAAAATGATCAATAGAATTCGGTTAGCACTCAGAACTTGATAATATGAAATTGGCTGCTGTCCCGTGACCAATCAGGGTACTTATTTTGAGTTGATAGTGTGAGCTCACTCTTGATGCACTATAATAACTCACCTATATCATTTGAGTTTATAATGAAAAATGAATACATACAAGCTTCTGGTAAATATATTCGGTAAGAGCATCCCATACTTCTGACGTGAAGCCTTCATCAACAGCCAACTCAACAGACTTTCAACTGACAACCAGCTTATAGTACTCATCTTACTATTTGTATGCCTAAAACAGTTATTACACAACTTATAACACAAATACTGTGTAGTCTAAAAGTAACTGTTCAAATAATAATTTATCTTTGTAATATGCCTTCAAAACATCGTTATTCTTGATTTTAATGGCGGTATTTTTCGTCACATTAGTTTTTATGTGTTCATATTACTGTTATTCCGTGTACTGACTGCTCTTCTTACACTTACTTCTTGGTTTATCTTCATTCCCGTATTCTGATATCTGTATTTCTCAGTGAACGAAACCGAGACAAAGTTTTTACTACTGACCTTTCACAATCTATTGGTAACAACTTTATTATGTTGTCACTTGTACTGGACTGTCGCTGACTGGAGAGAATTGATCGATTTCTATTGGTATATGAGCTCCTACATGGGTGCATTAATATTACCTGTATTTGAAAGGTAATATTAACTGTGGACAGTGTCTGGTGGTGGAATTCGCATTCTGTCCTATTTACGACTCGTTAGTTGAATGTTCTTACCTCCCAGTGAGCGATGTTGTTCCTTCTAAGGTTCTAACCAGGGACCGATCGCTTCAAACACCGGAGCGTTACTCAGTGGGCCACAGGGTCATGATAGCCATTTTTTGCAGCGGATACAGTGTAGTTTTTGATGTCAGAGTTGATGAGTCTAGTTCGATGATTGGATCCAAGTTATTGACGACGGGATTATACAAGTGATGTTAAAACTATACACTAAACTATATCATATTCATTACAAACCGAAATTTTCAACCTCCAAGCTTATACATGATAACTTGATCTCAGTTTCTCTGGATGGATGATTCTGCATTGTGGAACCATTTCGGTTATAACTTTAAGTGCATGTTTACACACACAATCCTCAATCTCCACTTCACACTTTGATCATACTTAACACTACATATGATCATCACCTTTTTCAAAATCTGACAACCATAATCATTCACGCGAAAAAACCCACTTATAAACATATGTATTACTTTATCTATCTGAGTGAGATAACCATGCTTTAACAGACTAGTATTGATACTGGGTGATGATCGAAGGTGGAGTGAAAATTTAGGCCACGGCGGGACTCGAACCAAACACCACTGGGTTTCCGGCTTGGGCCTCTACCAACCGAGCTGCGAGACTCATCCCAAATTTTTATTTCAGAAATATATATACTCCTATATGAACTTGGATACTCTGACTGAATGCAATGAGGAACAGACAACAAGAAATTGGCTGCTCTTCTGTGACTGATAAAAATATTTAACCCATTCCTGCGGGAGGTCAGTCGTGCATGGCCCAAATAGCTCAGTGGTAACATCGCTAACTGCAACGCTGGGTAATATGGATTCGAATCACAGAGGCGATATCAGTTCCGAAGATTTCACAGATACGCCTTGCTGATGAATGCCAGAAAGTAAGAGACCTAGGTCCAGGACTTCCTACCTTCAGCCAACAAACTAGGATACTGTAAATTCCGGCTTACCTTATCTTTGATAAATTGAGAGACATAAAAAAGTGAAAAGTCAGTAGTAATAATCTTGGTTTGTTTTTCATTCAATGGAAAATACAAATACCAAAACAGTGAACAGTATTTACCCAATGCATAAACTTCTCCAAACCATCGAATCGCGACTTGATTTGAACATCTATAAACACCCTGCTTCCAGTTAAACCAGTAATAAACTAATAAGGCCACTTGCATGAATCAGGTTGCCAAAAATTTTCCACCTAACATATTTAATCAGCTTCTCCCTTTACAATTTGTTTTAATCTATTAAATCTGTCTTCCGAATGTATCATTTAGTCTCACCCCTTTTAAAATGTTTTCAGACCAACTATCGTTTATCAAGCTGAGAAGGAAACAAAGCAAAAACGTTACTCCGGATGGAAGTGGTCATATAAAGGCTCAAAAATATGGCATAGAACTATTCCTAGGATACATATGTCAAATTTTGGGATTTCGTACTGGCCGACCAAAGTGTCGACACCAAAATTCAACACGATTATGGACTCATCCTCAAATCCAGACTAGACGCTAATGTAACACCATCTACCCATTTCCTTTGAGTCCCTTTAATACTGCTGTTGTTAACACTATTTAGACGTAATAATTACTTCTTGAAAAAATAGTGTACCGTGAACTAATTTGTTCAAATATTACATGCTGAAAATTCAATAATGTATTACACATTTTGTTTGGAATAAAGAAATTATTATTTTTCTTAATTATTGACTTGTTAGTGTAATACTTTTCGCACTTACAATTGCTTAAGCCAAGTAGATTTCAGGTAAAATAAACGACTCTATGTATGCACTACCATTCATCATATTTTAATATTTAGAAGTTGTGCCTTATCACATTTTAAATATAGAAAAAGAATCATTCTATAGAACCAAAACAAAATAAGACTTGTTAACTAGTACAGCTACTGACAACTTGTTCAGAACTCATATTACATGAATACTTTTATTTAAACAAATTTAATTAACTGGTGTTCAAGTAAACAAAAAAGCAAGTGATTGAAACATTCACTACGCAGGGTTGAAACGCTCAAAACTCAGTTGACATTGGGGCTTCTTTTCGATACTGTCGAATACTCATGATGTTGTACTTATGGTGATGAGACTCGAACTCAGTACCCATCACTTCAAACATCAAGGTGTTATCCATCCGGTCACTGGGGCACGACAGCCACCTCTTGTATAACTGATATCATTTGCTGTTGCTTGATACTAGAAATTTCCCACTGCCTAGTAGATAACACTTTGTCGTTGGAGGCGATAGGTACGGAGTTCGAGACTCATTACGGACAACATCACTCACTGGGTTCCAGGTAAAAACAACTGACTAGTCCCAAACAGGACGAAGTCTACGTCCTGGATTCTACTGACAGTCACCAAGAGGAATGCTTGAAATTTGTTTACGATATAAATTATTTATAATGACTAACTTATTTTAGTAGTTCCTTCTATTCTCTCTACAATACACAAATGTTTCATGAAAACAATTATTTGAGCAGTTATTAAACTAATGTAAAAATTGTTGAACAAATAAAACTCCAGTTGTAATTTCCCGTTGCTATACAGAGTCAAATTTCTCGATCAATGTAAAACTTTGGTTGTTTGTGTAAAGGCATACAACTACTTTTAGAAGTCACTGATGCGCTGATTATCATAAAAAAAGGCTTTGCCGCAAAACTTTTGACATGTTCAATGACGAACTAACACTTAAAAAGTAAAGCGTAATTCTCAAGAATAGACTGAAGACCAACTTACAAAACAACAGCAGTATTATATGTTGATAAAGTTACTAGTGTACTGAAACAAATGGCTTCTCACCATCATTTATGAATCCAAATGGATATAGTTACTTCTAAAAAATGAAAATCTCTATTTGATGCAGCTTCTATTATTATATTAGTGACTACCGTAGATAGACGAAAACTACAGATAACATGCATACTAATAGGTAAGTTATTACATTACTCTGACGAATTGTAAAAGTTCTGATTTATTGTATGTTACGCCGCTCTAGTGCATGCTTCAGCTGGCTTTCTAAGTAACTGCTCATTAAGGAATGATTTAGTCTGTAGCAACCGTGATCACGTTCAAAATACATCAGCGATTTTCTATGATGAGCTTTCATTTTCTACTAATTGTAGTTGATACGGCTAAAAGGTGATAACAGTGGTGCATGTTCACTTAAATACCATTATTCCTTTCATTATGTTAAAATTTTAGTCCTATGACATTTTGACAAGTCTGAAATGGTTTCATTTTCCCCCTCTTTCCTTTGGTTTTCATTTTCATCTCATTTTAGTGATTGGAAACATCGACAACTGCAACTAGTATACACTTAAGACCGACAGTATGTCATATCTTTGACTGACTGCGAAATTTTTTTGCATAGTCATGTTATTAAAGTTAATTACCATCAGGAATTCAAGCCAGCTCATTAAAAGTACAAATGATATTAAACACTACTGAAATTCATTTATTCCTTTTGTTGTTTTAGAGCAAAAGTAAGGCATTATTATCAGTTCAATATGTTTATGATATATTTTATGAAAGTTAAATTAAGACATATTGCTCCTATATTATGATGTATCTATCATATGACTTACAAGGATAAAATTATGAACTATTCGTTACAACCCTAACCCTACCGAATCCCATTCAAATCATCTCCATCAATGCGTTCAAAATTACTCTGTATTATTCCAATTTTCTTCCTCAGATCATAATCGTATTACCCAGCGAACATTTAAGTTACTGTATAACATTTGATTAGATTTACTACATTTTTACGAATTGGTATGGACAGGATTTGGTCCGTTTACGAAAAAGACATTTTACTCGTGTTCTATATCCTTATTCTCTTCATACTTCTGAACCTTTTGCTGAGTAACTTATCATGTAAATTAAACCATAAGCCAGTGAGAATTACTTAAATAAGTTGAAAATTATACTCACCTATTAGCTGATGTAATTTTTCCAAGTGTTGCTTCAATGCTTCTGCCTTTTGGGGATTGTATTTATTGGAAATACATTTTTGTTGAGAATTTAAATTATCCATCCTATCAAGTACTTGATAAGAAGTAAAAATTCCCCTACTAGCTATTTCATAAGATATTTAGCATCTAAACAAAGATTCTAATGCTGAAAAGTTTTGCTTGTTTTCATTCAAAAGGAATTATTACTTGTTTTAGGAAAAAGAACTTATTTTAAGAATCCTGATGAAACCAATAACAGACAGTATAAAAAAATTGCTGACATTTTATTGGTCCATCAACTGAAAGTGAAGTCTGTTCATTTGTCTTAAAGAAAACACCTTTTTTGTAACATCGTCTACTTGATGATCCGGAAGTGAAAACTTGAAAATTTTTATTTACCTACAACTTGACAATTTGATTATAATGTCAGGAAAAATAACTTACAACTAAAACTGACTGAAGTGAGGGTTATTTTTGAACTAGAAGAACTCAACTTTTCTAATGCCTTTTTTTTTTAATTTTTAGTATACGACAAAAGAGTTAGATGTCTAGAAGAAACCGTAGTGCTAACACAACCCCAGTAACATTGATTTCATTAGTTTATCCCCCAAGATGTTATGATAATATCATTAACTTTAATCATACACTAGTAAAAAACGAAAGTCTTCTGGATTGTTATGTTGTACTAGCTAGATGTTATTCATGAGGTTTCAGAATGAATAATTTTTCAGTTCTATCAAACGTTTTTTACAACCATTCACAATCACTAATATTATTATCCCTTATTTACGACAGTAGTAATCTTTACTGCATATTTTCAGTGAAAACTCTACCATCATGAAAGTAGTAACATCCACAGAAAACCTTCCCAGACGTAAAATATATCAGTGTGAACCACATCATTGGTGAATAAGTTAATCATTCCTTTTTTGGTTGACGTATACATTTAGCACAGATGATGATCAGATTCAGGCAAATTGGATAATCTTGTTTGTGAGATTTATCTAACTTCGTATTGTGAAATTGATAGAACTGACTTCCAGTTGACTAGACCACGTTGGTCACCGTGAATGTCTTTAGTTTTTCATGGCTAACACCAACTGACTGATAAATTTTTGACTTCATTTGCTGACTAAAACTTTGAGATGGTGTACAAAACTGTTTTAGCTCAAGATGTAAAGTTCCAGGTAATAACTTGTTCTGAACTTCTATCTTTGCATGACATCACAGTATTCTTTCAATGCATTTTTTTATCAAAAGGTTTGTCTGACCCATTACATATTACAAAATCGGTTATTTCCACATTTAACTTGGTGCTGTAAATCCCCTAAATCATATCCAAAGTATAGTTCTATTAAATCCTAAGTTATTTTGTGGGGGTAACTGTAGTTATTGTTAGATTACTATAGAACACTATAAAATCCGGCAGGTCGAGCAATTCAGCCCTGTTTAGTGAATGAGACTTACAGTTATTAAAACAACAATTGAAATAGAGTGCACAGTGACCCAATGAGTAACTCTTTGGCTTTCGAAACGATGTTTACTGTATTCGAGTCTCTGTGGGTACAAATTCACTCACTGGAGTGCAGGCACACCCAGTTGATGAGTCCAGAGTAAGAAGAAATACGCGTCTTGGCTTCCACTGCTAGTTACCAAGACGAATATAGCATCGTGAATATCCGGTAGTATCTAGGCATCTGCAGTGGAGCCCGCTTACCAACGGAAGTCGAGCAATTTGACCCTGTTGGGCGAGGGAAAATTACAAGTTTGAAAACGATAAAGATTTAATGAGTTTGCCAAATCAGCTGTTTAGTCTTGTCTATTATAAAAGAGAAGAATGATCCATCAACTTATTGGAATATTGACTTACTAAGCAATCAACGATGACTAAATGTGGGTTATTTTGTTTGCCATATCTATATGAAAGTTAATATACTACGTTTCGTAGGTACATCTATTCGGAAATAAGATACACGTATGTTCAACATTTAAGCTTAGAATATATACATGTTGAAATTTAACGTTGTGTTAGACATTCTCCCTCTTAAACATTTTTTAAAAACCAGTGAGTCAATCAACAATATACCTTTCGGTGAGTGAAAGTAGTGGTGAACATCGTCTAATTGCTGGTATTCTTGACTGTTTACTTTATTAATTACTACCTGTTTAATAACATACTACTATAAACTTTGTCAACGCCTCATCATAACGCACAGTGATCGTCAATCCTCTCCAGTACACAGATATACTTGCTCATTGAATATTATTTATTCATAAATAATTATTTGTAAAGCTATTTCTAATCACTCATATTCTGAGACAATTATTTCATATACACTTTTTTAACCACAAAGTAAACTAAACCCTCTGGTTGAAAGTTTTGGTCTCAGGTATCATGTCATCTGAAGACTTTCTATGAATAATCATCGTTTTCATTCGCCAACTAGGTACGCCATGTTGGTGTGAAATGGTCTCAACATTCAGTTAGGTATTGCATCAATAATTCTTCACCCAACTACTTCGTTGGATAAGGAATTTTGTTAAACAGAAACAACAAATAGGAAATTTTAAAACGAACTTTTACCGAACTATATTTCAAACACTTTGCTTTTATTTTTAAGTCAAGAGAATACCACCCCTCTAAACGACGGTAACAGTGCCAGACCAGGCTTTCTCTAGATTTTATTATATGCCTTGAAACTGAACCATCTGGTTCAGGAATACATACGTGGTCAACACAATGGAACAGGACTCATTTAGAATGGTTCCCTATCAGAAGTCGAACCACACCATTAGATAAGTAGTTCAGGCTATGACAGAAAGAATGCATGGTGACGAACCTGTAGCAAATAGGGAACAAAAGACCCTCCTCAGGCAGAAAGATAGATTAAAGGTGAATTCATATTGTCCTCTGACATGGCAAGAGAAGGATGGAACGTATATACCTGTAGCTCCTAACTACCTAAGATAGGAGTTAACTCATGGTAGCTATCAGTGGGTACACACAGGATCTACGAGGAATATGGGCCCCCTATGGTAAATTGCATTTTGTCTTGGAATGTGAGACAATGTTTATAAATATGTACATGACTGCCCATAGTACCAACCAATGAGGAGTATTCGGTATATATGACCATCATTGTAGTCGATTCCTATAGTAGTAGTTGGTAACCTCTTGTTAGTAGACATAGTGAGACTATTTCCTGATGCATCCAGTAGGAAACTGTATCAACTGTTGATGACAAAACACATGACATATTAGTTAGATGCATTTGTGATCTCCACCCGATATGCAAAATCAGCAACAGATTATTCCAAACCAAGGATTCACAAATATGTTACGGACATATCAGTGTCTCTGTTGGGATTCTGGGGGATTTAAATCTCCCCCGGAACGGCTGTGAATAAAGTACGAACAGCATTATGTCAACCATAGGTAAGTTGTCTGACAACAAGGAACAACCGTAAATTGAAGCAGTGGCTGATCTCGAAGGAAGATTACCGGGAGACAGAAGTGGCATTGATCCTGTTTGCATACCGTGCCTTCCTAAAATAGACAACCAAGAAATCTTCCATTCAACCAATATACATTATAGAGTCATGACGAATAGTCTACACTCGGATCACACACTGAGAAAACCACTCGGGGACATCATGAGTCAGGCCAGGACATCCAGTGGAACCCGAATGGAAACGGCGAGTTGGACGTCCAGGGCGAGGGTGACATCAAGGAGATCATTTGAGGAAGAAATGAAAGCTTATGGGCAGTCGTGGAGCCGGGTTAAAAAGACTGCAGAGGACAGAGTGAAATGGAAACATGCTACAGAAGCCCTATGTTCCACCAGGAACCTAAGGGAAAAATAATAATATCTGTCCACAAAAAAAGGAAAGGAGTATGACTTTGATAACTGAGAGGAAATGTGGAAAATAGGCAAAGAACGATGCCGAAAAGTTCAGAAATGGAAACCTTGGCAACAAAGACCAAGTAGAGTTTGGAGAACGTAATTTCACCGCAGAAAATGAGTAAGGCTCAGGATAGCTACCTGCAAAATGGGAATGACAGAATCTAATCACCAAGAGGTGCAGTACGTCGCAGTTTACGCGATTTGAAAACGGTAGAATTTGAAAAGCGCTAATACTGGCCAACTTTAGAAATGGTTCCATTTGCATCAAGAAGCAGAATCACAAACATAACAGAAAAAGGTAACGGTGATGAGATCCACATGACTACAGAAACGAATTTTGATACAGGGTTAATGTGACAAACGGTACTCATTAAAATATTAGTGATAAATTTAGCGAAATCCTAAACAACAAGAAGTAATAACGATCGCGTGGTGAAAACTCTGGAGGTCTCAATACAGAATAGTGAGCAAAGATATATGGGTCAAGAACAGTCCATATTAGGATGCCAAAAAGGAGTATGTTTGCTAGTGTGAATCTAATGGGACCCTTAATATTATTATTGTGTTGGAACAGTTATTCTCTTTGGTGAATTTACACATGGGAACGCGAATTTGAAGTTTATCTAGGAAATGTGACTTTTTCACAATACAATTTGAAAAAACCTGATCATACATTTATATAGGAAGGCATTCCATATGAATGGTGGAAATAGAGTTAAACTAAAATAATAAATGACTTCATAAGAGAGGATGATAACGAAGAATTGAACATTTCCACACCGACTTTGGTATTAAAATTACACAAAAATGACAAATTATTACTGAAGTAGGAAACAGACCATTAGGTTACCATCCAGTGGCTCGATAGTAGTGTTAGCCACAGAACCTAAAGGCCTTGGGTTTGATTCCTGAGGGGCGAGTTCATGGGTGCACACCGCTGAGGAGTTCCATACTAAGATGACACATCTGTCCAGTCCTCTCAGGTTTCAAATGTTCTTCCAACTGATCTCAGTCCATGAAGAATTTCAATCTGAAATCAACTAATAAATCTCCGCAAACCTCCAGATCGAATATTTCTGAATACATAAAAAGGTTTTTCGACTTTTATACTGCTAAGACTTCAATAAACCCAAGTGCACGATGCTGATGGCTCTTGTGTAATGGTCTAAAGTTTGTTT